AGTTTCTTCCTCGGGAAACCAGAGTCCTGGCGCCAGTCTGGTGGTGTTGCTGGCATGTCACAGGCACGGCAGTGATGTACAGACTCTTACCCTCCTTCAAGCCCCCCATTCTGGGCCCTGGGCATCTCTGTAGTTAGTTCTCCACTCGTGGCCTGTGTCCAGGAGAGCTTCCCAGCAGACTTGGGGGGTCGGAGGGAAGGGGTAACCGGCCTTCTGACTTTTAATTTAGATTCCTGGGTTTATGGCAGGAAGCATGGCAGGGCTGACGCTGTAATTAAGGCGATTCCTGAGGCCGGAGGAGGCAGAGAGAGGAGCCCGCTAGGAGGCTGGTTCCCACATCTCCCTCTCTCCCGCCGATCCCAACCTTGGCTCTTTAGCAGGCTCCTCTGCCTCAGCTCTAAGGCATTGACTCCATCCTGCATCCCAGATAACTGCCCGCCAAAGGTCACATAGCAACAGAAGCCTGTGTGTCTCCCTCAGACACCTGTGGTCCGTTCCAGGGGTGCAGCCAGTGTTCAGACTCTTGAACTTCAGGTCTCTTCTTCCCTGTCACCCCACCCCCAGTCCGCACTCCTGAGGAGTCTGGGCAGAGCCTGACTAGGGATTAGTGGGAGGGGCAGATCCCACCCACGGTCAAGACCAAGGCAGTAGCCTAGGGCTGCTGAGGCCTGCCAGCCAAGGCCTGGGGCAGTGCTGGGCTCTGCTGGGCCAGTGTTGCCAGGAGACCTGGGGACACAGCATCTCCCATCCAAGAGCTGGAGCTTAGCTTGTCTGCAGGTCACTGGGACCCCACAGTCTCTTCCTTTGCGTCCTCCCTACATGGTCCACAGGAAGAGAGCAATAGTCATCCAGGTGTTCTCTCCCACCAGAACACACACGTGGCTTTTACCTCCCGACTCCAAGTCCCTTCTTTCTTCATTGCCTCGCCCCCCCCCCCCCGCCCCAGGCTGTGTGCCCTTTAGCAACCCCTGTTCCCTCTGGGCCTCTGAGGTTTGACCTAGCTCATGTCTATAACTCCAGCTACCTGGAAGGCCAAGGCTGGGAGATTGAAAGTTCAAGTCCTGTCTGGACTATAATATAAGAGAGATGCTGTCTGGAAAAAAGACGAAGTAGCTGGCAAGAAGGCTCAGCAGGTAAGGGTGCCTGCTGCCAAGTCTGATGACCTGAGTTCGATTCTCAGAACCCTCATGATGGAAGGAGAGGACTGACTTCCCCAGGTTGTCCTCTGACCTCCACACAGGTGCTGTGGTAAGCATGTGCATACACGTACATGTAAATAAATAATTTTTTTTTTCCTAGACAGGTTTTCCCTATGTAGACCAGGCTGTCCTCAAACTCAGAGATCTGCCTGCCTCTACTTCCTTAGTGCTAAGATTAAAAGGCGTGTGCCGCCACTGCCTGGCCTATTATTTATTTATTTATGTATTTATTTATGTATTTATTTATGTATTTATTTATTTATTT